ATCTATCTATCTATCTATCTATCTATCTATCTATCTATCTATCTATCTATCATCTATCTATCTATCATCCATCTATCTATCTATCTATCTATCTATCTATCTATCTATCTATCTATTATTTATTTTGAGGGAGAGGAAGATTTGTAGATTCTGGAGCCAAGCCTCTTTGAAAGCTGGAGTGGCTACAAGGGGGCTGGGATCTGTGCAGTGACATAAACACCTAGGACTAAAGACATGAGGGCTCTGGGAAACTGAGGCTGGTAGGAACCAGGGGTGACGCTTCGGTGGAACTTTGCTTGTGGCCACAGTGTACCACTGGCTCACTGAGAAGAAACAGAGGGTTGAGAGGGAGTCACGACACACATTACTTTGTTTTAAACCTGGAGTTTGCATATCCTGTCTGAAAGCAAGGAAGAGATATTAACAATAACACTGGTGGTAACTAAATTTACTCCCTTGAGGAACTTCCATCATAGATGGTGTGTGGTTTTTGATTAAGAAGTTGGTAAAATCTAGAACTGTTTTGAAGGCTAAAGTGCATTGCACTTCCCTGTATGATGGTGGGGCCTTACTGTGCGTATCAGTTACTGTAAGGATGATGATAAGACAGCCATGGAGAAGAGACGTTTCCCACAGTTTGTCCAGGATTCACAGAGATGACTTCTCTGTTATGTGTTTCCCAGGCTTTCTAGGAAAGCCTAGAGTTTTGTGATGGAGCAACAAGTGGCGTGCCGACGTCACTTGTGCTAACCCCCAGCACTACGGACGCATGGGTCTTAGTTTCTGCTGAGTATTTGGATTCTGCACATGACATGCTCTGCTTTCCTGGAAAGGCTTCGTCTTGCATGAACCCACACTGGTGTTGGTCAATCACAGTTCTTTTTTTCTTTGTTCTAGGAAGAGGCAAACAGGGAATGTTCCTTATTCTCAATAATAACATGTTTTTTTTTAAGGGTAGCAATGAATTTATTTGTTGCTTGAAGAGTCACATTGTTTAAGTACAATGGTATTGGAAGTCAGGAATCTTGTTCATAGGTCTTGACTCTGTCCCTGAGTAGGTGAGACAGCTTGGGTGGGTTTAATGTTCTCTCTCCATCTACAACACGAAGGAATGTGAAAAACTGACATGCTGTCTGACCTCATTCCAAACTGTGTAGCTCCGTTACCCATAAAAATGTGGTGACATAAATTATAGTCGCACTTGGAGATTATAGAGATGCGTACTCCTATCATAATCCCTGGTTAATTTGTCTTTAAATTTTTTTATGTTTATGTGTATGGGTGTTTGGCCTGTATGTATATCCGTGGACTGCATACATGCTCACATGTGGAGGTTAAAGGACGTAGCTGATCCCTGGAGCTGGATTACAGATGCTTGTGAGCTGTGGAGTGTGTGCAGGGATCCAAACCTGAGTCCTCTGAAGGAGCACTTGTGAGCTGCGGAGTGCGTGCAGGGATCCAAACCTGAGTCCTCTGAAGGAGCAACAAGTGCTCCTCATTGCTAAGCCATCTCTCCAGCTCCTCGCTATACAAGTTTTAACAATTATATTACAGCGATCAATTCTTTTGGGTCCATGGTCCATTAATGTGAAGTCTAGATAGTATTTTTCAATCTGTATACAATGGATTTCTGTTCGAGATTATAACAGTTCAACTGTCGATGAGAATTATTTGTTTTGCTCATATCAATGTTGGAAATAATGAGATGTGTTGTTTTTTTAAAAAAATTACATGAGTTTTTTCTCAAGGTGGAGAAACTGAGTGGCTTCTCACATCTGTGAAAATCAGTCACAAATTGAGTATTTTCTTCCCAGCAAATGATACAATCTGTAGACATTTACAGAAAAACAATGGCGTGGGTATTCAAGCTTTAGAAATCATTAATGTATTTATTATGATGAAAGGCACAAAAAGGAAAATTGATCATATTTTACTGAAAATGTGAATAAATTAACAGATAATGTCCACTTGAAGACCCATCAAAAAGTCCTTAACCTGACCTTTGTGGTGGGAATTGGGTGTTATACTAGGCTCATCTCCAATGTTAGGGCATCACTTACTAAATAAAATGTATGATGTCATCCTTAAGGCACAAATCCTAAAGCCAGCCTTCAGGGTAAAGTTCTAGCATCTAAACAAAATAACCGTGTGTGTGTGTGTGTGTGTGTGTGTGTGTGTGTGTGTGTGTGTGTGATGACTTGGGAAAGATACTTCAGAAACATAGGGAGTACTGGGCTGGTGAGGTGGCTCAGCAAAGACATTGGATGCAGAATCCTTGGCAATCTGGATCTAATCCTTGGAATCCACTGAAAGGTGGGAAGAGAGAACACACTTTGCAGAGTTGACCTCTGACTTCAGCTCATAGTCTGTGGCATGTTTACACATGTGACACAACATGTATCCACATACATTTTAATTTTGTTTCCAAAATTAAAAAGGGGTATAGTAAGACATCATTGAAGTGACAGTTTAGAGTTGGCCAGCTACTGCATATATTGAGAACACATTTTTGGTGTTATTAATAATTGTATGTCTGATGTCCTGGGTTTTTTAAATGTGCTGTGGCTTCTATCCTTAGGGTTTATGATTTTAGCAAGTGCTGCAGGACCCAACATAACTTATACTTCCTCCCCATAAGCTTTACTCATTGTTTTTCTCTTGATTCATGTTTCTGGCACATCCAGAGGCTAGACAGCGTAGAAATCTCATCTATTCTAGGGCCTCTATATAGACTGTGAAGTTCTACAGTCCACACTTGGGGTAAAGTACCTATTCACCCCAGATCTGAGCTAAAACAATGGGTTATTTAGGAGCTATGTCCCAGAGCCCAGCCCTGGCCTCCCTAACGTTCCCTGTGTTGGAGTCAGATAGCTACTTGTGTAGCTAGTTGCTTCTGTCAGCATCTAAGCTTTTTGAGTTGGGTATCTGGCTGGTTAGCTGTCTGAGCTCAGAGCATGATAAGATCAACAGCAATCTTCAGTACGTGTTTGCTGAAGCTGTGACTGTTCTGTGGTTGAACGCTGTTGTTGGTGTTATTGTTACTGTCGCTGATATTCAATTACATCTTTTTCTTTCTTTAGCTGGGAAGTCATCAATTCCAAGCCAGATGAAAGAGCCAGACTGAGCCACTGCATCGCAGAATCATGGATGAATTTCAGCATATTTCTTCAAGAAATGTCTCTTTTCAAACAGCAGAGCCCTGGCAAGGCACGTTTTAAAATACTTAATGTAACTTGGGAACAAATGAGGTGACCTATTTTAGTTGTAGAGACCCTCTAATGTGGACATACTATATAGGCTCAGATACGGTCACATGTGAAACTCTTAAGCATTTATGGATTATAGAGATCTATTTAGCCCACTACTTAGAAGGAATTGAGATAGGGCTTTGCCATATTTAAAACCAAAAGGAAACAGAAAAGGGGTGTTACTAAGAACTTTGGTTATCATCTGTGGTCTGGTTCTGAAATCGAAGGCATTTGAGATAAACCTGGTCCTTTTAGGGGTTCAGAGGTAAAAACACAGCCCTTTTAGGGGTTCAGAGGTAAAAACACAGTCCTTTTAGGGGTTCAGCGGTAACAGAGTCTCACTTATAATCTAAAAATGTAGTCCAGATTCTGGTTTGGTTTACTGTAAGGAAGCTTGCTGAGTGTGGTGCTCACAGTGATCCCAACACTTGGGTTAGTAAGGAGGATCATGAATTCTAGTGAGCTTGGGCTACACAGCAAAACCCCAACCTGGAGTAACCACACAGAGAAAGGGTGAAGAAACCAAATGAGCTTTGACAAAAGCATTCGTTGTGGTTACACAACTGGAGTAAGAGTAGGTTTTTGTTTATTTGGTTTTTTTCTTTTGTTTTGTGATTGAGATAAACTCCCACTCAGGAAGAGTCTCAAGTGATGAGTGCGACAGCATGGACAGATGAATACTTGAAGACTACGATCAGGGCTTTACCTGGGTGAGGGGCAGGACCATCAACAGACATTGATGGATCTCTCACAGTTTTTAAGATTAAATTGCCCACCAGTGGTTGCAAAGCAAAGCTAGAAATATCAGCATTAAGATCCCCCCCGTGTGCTATGTGTATAGGCAGTCTCCTAACGTCACCAGAATTAAGTCATAGAACAGCGTCTGGGAATATTTCACCCATTTTGAACTGGCAGTGCTGGATATTTAACTTCTTTAACCACAGTCAGTTTTAGAATTGATAAACATGAGAGGCATAACAGATTTTAGTGCTTATTTCACCAACATGACATGATCATATATACTGTTGGAAGATTCTCAACTTACAATATCTACTGTAACTGGAGTGAAATACCAGTTAACCTGAAGTTTAGAGTCCTTGTTCTTTCTCTTAAGCAGGTTTTGGCCAGAGATGTGTATCTCTTCCTAGTTTTTGAAAGCCCCTTAGTGAATTTGCTTGGCAGTTTAATTCAGTACTTCCCTTTAAAAATAATGCATAAAAAATTAGACACCTTCTGAGCAGAGTGTAGAAAGCTAGTGAAGACTAAAGAGGAAACCTTTCTATATTGATGTTTCCCATGTAGCCTAGGACAGTTTTCTAAGACTGTTTTAAAATTTCCTTAAGACAACCAAAGATTTTGCTCTTGCTCTGTAATTGACAGAGAGGAGAAAAATAGAATTCACTGCAGAAGTTTCATTTCACTTGGTTTAGTTTTGGGATAACCCGGATGTGGGTGGATACAGTTAGGGAGGATTATGATGTTCACGGATTGATGCCAGAAGTTTACCAGCAGTACAAATGACATCAGACTCATACAGGCACCCCCATACCGTGTGTGCATCTGTCTGTGGATTTCAGTGGGTTTATGGTAGTAGTTTGAAGTTGCAGGTTTACTTCTCAGGGTGGGTAAAAGTTGTTCCTGGGGACCTGTTACTATTTGAGCCTCTTGCATCTGGCAGTGGTACATCAACGGGCCTGAGGAAGGGAGCTTGTCATTCCAGAATTAGCTCCTCTGCTTGCAAATTGATTATTCCAAAGTGTTCTAATGCTTCCTTGGTGTTCTTAAGTATAAAACGCGCTGTTGAAGAAACATGGGGCATATATAATACAACATGCACACCATGTGGGTTCTACTGTGCCTTACTGTTGTGGCTAACTGTCCCATGCTATTTCTGTTACTTCTAGTTTTGCCTCCTGGTCTGCAGTGTGTGCACATTTTTTACAATCTTGGGAAGTTACATTCCTGGGGTCATACTCAGCTACCTACTGTGTAAGTATAGTAAAAACTCTTGACTAATTTGTATGACAACGTACGGATGCATTAGTGCTTCTCAGGTCCTCTGCTTAGTTTGGAAGGGTAAAGGTAAGCTCTGAATTATCAAACAAGTCTCCCAAGCATGACACTTCTCCCATCCCCTAGAGATGGTTATACTTAAACATCTGGAAGCACTGATGCAAAAAACAGGGTCATAAAATGTAATGTTAAATTATACATTGAATATTTAACTAAGCAATATGCCCCACTCTGCACAAATATACCTACACTTCTGCCTTGGTGCAGGTTTGTGGGACCAAAGGTAAAATCACAGTGAGATACCACTGCATCTCTGCCACAAAGGCCTAAATTAAGAGCATTGCATCAAATATAAACCAACGATATAGAGCAGCCCTAATTCTTGCTTATTAGGGGTATGTAGGTAGAATGATACAATCAGAAAACTGTATGGCTGTGTCTACTCTACAGCTGGCTGTCTCACCATTAGATATTTGCCCAAGAGAAACAGAAGGATGCATCTCTGCAAATAGTTATACCGGAATGTTCATGGCAGATTTGGTTTTAGTAGCACAGAGGGATACAATTTACACTAGCCTTACAGAGACACAGATAAACCATGCTGTATCCATATAATGGATCATTACCCGGCACTAAAAGCTGATACATGCAATACCATAGATAAATCTCAAAGTAACTGGGCTGAACGGAAAAAGCCAGAGCATGTACTATATAGTTCTATTTATATATAATTCTAGAACAGTCAAAAAATAGATCAGTGGTTGCCAGGGATGAGTTAGTTGAGTGGGGTCAGGGAGGGGCAAGAGGCAGAAAGGAAGGATTTAATAATGACAGGAGGCAACTTGCTTGTGTACACTGTTGACTGTCTTGATTGTTCCCAGGATTCTCAGTTGATTACATGTCTTATCAAATTGTAACTTTGTATGTAACTTGTTACATGTGAATTGTAACTCTGAGAAGATCTCCACATTATATATATATATATATTTTTTTTTTATGGTTTTTCGAGACAGGGTTTCTCTGGCTGTCCTGGAACTCACTCTGTAGACCAGCCTGGCCTCGAACTCAGAAATCCGCCTGTCTCTGCCTCCCAAGTGCTGGGATTAAAGGCGTGCGCCACCATGCGCCACCACTGCCCGGCTCACATTATATATTCTGCTTTTCCTAAAATACATGGAGATCTGGCTGTTAACTCTCAGCAGGGCAGTATCTCTGCTGACCCCACATTTCCATTTTCACTCTGGCTTTTGAGTTTCACATATACTCCACTGGGCTCTAAAGATGCTTAAGGGAGCATCTCTCTTCCCTTCTGTGTTCCTAATGCACGGTGCACTTGGCAAACGGTTGATGCTCCATCCAGTGTTTCACCTAGACCCTACAGTAGTTACCGGATCCCCATGGTGTAGGAAATCAGTGAGAAAAGTACTGGCAAAGGAGAGATGGGGGCAGTTCTCCATCTTGCTTGGGCCGAGCTCAACTGCATGCCCAGCTACAGCTACCCCACAAAACCCCATCCCAGCATCACTGCCAAGCCGCGAATCAGAGGTAATCATGTTCTCATGATTAATAATGGTAATCATGGTAATTGGCAACATTAAACAAAAGTAAGATTTTAGCCGAGGACAGTGGTTATAAGTTTTTATGGTGTGTGTGTGTATTTGTAGTAAAGTATGTTTTTTTTTTACCACAGAGTAAGAATAAAAATTAGAAGCATACTTGATGAAATGATGACTCTAGCAACAAAGCTGCTACTTTCCCCATGCATGAAACATGATCTTGTAAAAGACGGAAATGCAAGCATCCAGAATGAATACTTCACCTGTATTCTTTTCTTCTTTATTTTTCAGTACTGTTTGCTTTTTTGTGTCCACTGTTTAAATGTAATGATATCGGACAAAAAATATACAGCAAAGTCAAGTCCATTCTATTAAAGCTAGATTTTGGAATTGGAGAATATATTAACCAGAAGAAACGTGAGAGATCTGGTAGGTCTAGTTTGAATATTAGTTGTGTGTGTGTGAAAAAATGAGACTTTTTTCCTCCCCATGTAATCTGTGTAGTCTTTCCTTATTCAGGCTTATAATCTTTTCTCAAATGGACAGTTAAGTAGACTGACTTTTAAAATACATATTGTGCCTGTTCCTAAATGGGACCTGGATATAATCACCCCACCCTGGCAAGGAACAGTCACCAGAGGGAATGGAAAGACTTTGAGAGTCAGAGGTGCTCAAGAGGCCACAGCAGTTGCAGTCGTATAGGGTACGACTCACTTCCATAGGGTAACCTGCACAAGCAGCACACGAGACTGTGCCCGTCAACATCTCATCCTGGAAGGGAGCGGGGCTCTTGAGCTCCCAGTCCTTCCTGAAGTACACTGGCAGTTAGCAGGGGCTGTCAGGGAGGGGAGTCACTTTCTTTATTAATATAGCACTGACACACATGCTGCCCATATTTCAGTAAAGATGGCCACCCATGTTCATACAGTCAATCCCATTTAAACTCAGGGGCACACAGAATGAAGACAAGAGAGTAGGAGAGGTGTTTGGAAGAAGGGCATCAGCAGGGGGCTAGGGGACAAAGCAGGGCAACAGGGAGGTGAAGGACCAAGATTCACTATACATAAACATGAGAATGTCAAAGGACAGAAATGTAAATAAGTCACAAAATACACAGATTGGCAGGGGAAGGAGAAAGGGTTTCAACAACTCTATGTTTTGTTATGTATGATGTGCTTTATTTTATTTGGGTTGGGTTATTGAAAATTTCAGAAGGATAAGTGTGGGAGCCATCTAAGAGAAGGCTGAAATAAAAAGGGAGAGAAAAGAGTTCTAGTGTGATTAAGAAAACTAATGTATATAATAAATTATATATAAAATATGTATATAATATATGTATATGTGTGTCATATATATAAGTATAACACACACACACACACACACAAACACACACGTCTTTACAGTTTCTCAGGCTATAGGATGTATCAGAATGACCTGGAGTGTATAGCACAGTAGACTCTGACTCAAGAGGTCTAGGGTAGCAGCAGAGTTTGTATTGTGACCGAGTTCCCAGGGCTGCTGCTCCTGCTGGGTCATCTGTGAGAACACAGATGTTGACCGTTTCCCCTGGACAGCAAACGTTTGCAAATCCATGTCGCTTCTTCAGTACAGTTACAGGGAAGCACTGGAATGTACAGCTGGTTGTGGGGAGAATATATTACAATAAGGGTACTATGTCTAAGCTTTGGAGGAAACTAAATGCCCTTTTTTTTCCTCAACAGAAGCAGATAAAGAAAAAAGTCACAAGGATGACAGTGAATTAGACTTTTCAGCTCTTTGTCCTAAGGTATTTTTGGTCAATTTGTTTCTGTGTGGCTTGGCCATTTATTTACATAAAATAGATTGATTGTCCTAATAGATTTATGTATAACACAGGTTATCTTCTGTTTTATGAGATGACTGAATAATCTCAAAGGAAAATGATCACTGATTTTTTTTATTTTAAAATTTAGTGGTGTTTAATATGTATTTTAAAAAAGATTTTCTGTAGTCACTGGTATTTCTGTTGACACAGATTAGCCTCACAGTTGCTGCCAAAGAGTTATCTGTGTCAGACACAGATGTGTCAGAAGTCTCTTGGACTGATAATGGGACCTTCAACCTTTCAGAGGGGTACACTCCACAGACAGACACTTCTGATGGTAAGCTGACGCTTCTGGCTTCTCTTACTTTTATTGGTTCTGAAAACAGAAAGACTACTTAACTTCCGACAACCTCTGAGTGGCTCATAAAATCTGGACTGTTTGCAGAGAGGACATAACTTAGATTTAAATGTGGATGAAGTATGGTACCTGGTACAGCCTGCCTGAACCTTGAAAGGACTGTGATAAGTGAAAAGAAGCTAGACACAGAGGTCACTTATTCTATACTTGTAGTTAAATGGACTCTCCAGAATACCCAAGTCCACATAGAGGAAAAGCACATCACTGGTTCCTATTGAAATATTATGGAATATGGCACCTGATGCCAAGCCTGAGGACCCGAGTTCGATCCTTGGGCTCTCCATCGTGGAAGGAGAGAAATTGCTCCTGGAAGTTGTCCTATGACCTTTATACATGCACTGTGGCAAAATCCCCAGGCACACAAATAATTCAAATATAATCTTAAAAGTAGAAATAAAGTCAGTCTGCCTTCTAATCTCACGTTGTTTACCAGTGTTTCGAATGTTGGTATAACACTGGATGCACCAGAATTCACAATACCTTTCATTGAAGTGTGTATTCTTTTCTCTACCCTTACATGGGTTACAGGAATTCAACTCAGGTGCCAGGTTCCTCTTTACCCACTGGCCCATTTCACTGCCTCCTTACATAATCACAGATATCTTCTTTGGCTTAAGATAGTTACTATCTTAAGGGCAGGATGGAATGATTACCCATCGTTGTGGCAAATACCTGATGAAAAACAACCTGGAAAAGACTTGATGTAGGCTCACCCCTTGGAGGTAAAACAGATCAGGGTGGAAGAGCGTGGTGAGATCTGCTCTAGCTGCAGTAGCAAGGCATGAGGCAAGTGCTCACATTGCATCTGCAGTCAGAAAGCAGATAGAAACACACGCTGGTGCTCGGTTTGCTTTCCCATTTTCTCATCTTTTTATTCAGTCACCCACGTGCTGGCCGAGTTCAGGGTGATCTTCCCTCCTCAGTTAAAGCTGTCTGGAAACACCTTCACTGACCATGCCCAGAGGAGTGTCTCCTATGTAATTTTAAGTTAATCAAATTGACAATCAAGACTATCAGAAACACCAAAAACTTTAGTTAAACCTCATAGCTCACACTAGGCAAAGTTGAATATCCTTATATATGCTATTTTATGCTTAATAGGAAAGCTAAAAACATAAGGAAAATATATATAGTATTTGTCTACTTGTAGAGAGATACTGCCATAGATTCAGTAGGGGTCTAATATGGGGGATTCTAGTGGGGGTCTACAGTCATTCTAGTAGACCGCTGGTTGTGGCTGCTCTGAGGGTTCAGGTCAGAGTCACTGTAGACAGCTCTTACTTCAGATGTGTTCTGGCACTCACTCACCAACCTCTGTTATACATTTTATAGATCTTGACCGGCCCAGTGAGGAAGTTTTCTCTCGAGATCTTTCAGATTTTCCATCTCTGGAAAACGGGACGGGAACAAATGATGAAGACGAATTAAGTCTTGGCTTACCCACAGAGCTCAAGAGAAAGAAGCAACAGTTGGACAGTGCTCACAGACCGAGCAAAGACAGGCAGTCAGCAGCTGGCCTCTCACTTCCTCTCAAGAGCGACCAAGCCCTTCACTTGATGAGTAACCTGGCTGGGGATGTCATCACAGCTGCCATGACAGCTGCCATCAAAGACCAGCTAGAAGGGGCCCGGCAGGCACTGGCTCAGGTGGCACCCACTCCAGGAGAGGACACAGACACTGAGGAGGGGGATGATTTTGAACTACTTGACCAGGCAGAGCTAGATCAAATTGAGAGTGAGCTGGGACTAACACAAGACCAAGGGGCAGAAGCCCAGCAAAGTAAGAAATCTTCAGGCTTCCTTTCAAATCTCCTTGGAGGCCATTAACCGGGAAGCAGCTTGCAGCAAAGCACAGATAAACCACCCAAAAATTTCAAACAAGCAGGGGGAAAAAATGGAAAAAAAATTGAATTGTAAGCTTTAATTACTTTAGATTTTTTTGTTTTCTTTTCCCTTCTATAGTGAGTTGGATATGTATCAGCTGATAATGATAGACTGACATTTCTGATAGTTATTTTTATGTAATAAGCATGGAAATGAACTTTATAGTTACATATATACATACTGTGGTGTCATAAGTGCTTAGGGGCTGTTGGTAAACTGAAGAGAGAGAGAGAAAAAAACCACACCAAACCCCACCAAACTATTAAGGTCTTTCTAGAAGTATTCTTTTTCTTTATAATGTTCAAGCATGCAGAGATTCATCAGAACTCGCTGAAAACTGACAGTGGTGAGCACATGCTGCACCCGCTCCCTTTCGCTCATTTTGGAAGCAGTTCATCAAATTCTGTTAGGTTTTAATGTAAAGAAGGAGAAATTATCAAAATGTTTGTAGTTGAAGGGCTACGGACATGCTATCAAAATTAATTTTCTAGGAAAAACTTTAAGAATAAGTACTACCCATAGGCTGAAATATGTCCACGTTATTTCTACAGTCGTAGACATAGGCTTATTTGTCAAGTGGCATGTTCTGCTGACTGCCACATCTCGTCTTGAAAAGAGGTGGTACCGACCCATGGAAAGTAGGCAGTTATTTTTCTCTTAATGATGCTTTTGTAATGTTTGCAACGGTAAGTGCACACTATTTCGCACACTCAGATGTAAGCAAACCCTGATGTTTCTGTATTGTGTTATAGTCTCCTAGGATTGTGAAACTAGCTACTGGTATGTCCATGAGTGATGTGGTCATTGGTGATAAAAAAAAAAAACACAACAACTTTCTTTTTTTCAGTTTACAAATGCAGAACAGAGGAACTTGCTTGAACTTTAAAGTTTCTATCTCTGCCACTGCAGGTCTCAATATGTAATCATACTGGGAAGCTAGACTATGCTTTTTCCTTTAAACTGTTTTTTTTTTTGATCACCTTTACATAATCAAATTTGATTTACAGTGGAAACCAAGATAGTTGTTTTTTGTGAAACAATCTTTCAGTAGGACTGAGGGACCATGTCAGCAACTGTCTTAAATCTTCAGTAATAGCTGGCATTTCTACAGAGACACAAGACCCTTACAAAAAAAAGGGTAATGTAAGACTATAGAAATCTGTGTTTCAGTTTCATCTCTTTTATTTCTAAAGACTTAATTACAGGTGACTTGATCTTTTAATGTACCATCTCCTATTTATTTATTGTTTTCTTTTTGAGGTATTATAATATCTAGACTGAATTTTGCCAAATGTAAGAGGGAAAAAAGTTCCTGAAGACTCTGACTACTTGCTTATTTTTTGATTGACCTTCTATGCTTATGTCATTAGTGCCTCACAACCGTGTTTGATGTTCTTTATCGATACAAAGTGAGCCCGTGCCTTCATTTTTCTTGCCCATTTTGGTACCAATGTAAATCTGTGTTAGAAAATCTTGAAACTCTGTGAGTCTGGAAGAATATATCTGAATCCTATTCAATACATTTGCTGGATGTGAAGAAAAAATACAGCCACATATTTATAAAACAGTTGTTACTAGTATTCCTTTTCATGTGTATGTTTCTTTATTTAGAAAATATTCTTAGTCATGATATTTAAAAAAAACAACAAAAATGGTCAGCAGTTTCTTCATTGATACAAAAAAGAAGAATTATAATCAAAGATCATGTTTTAAATCATTGGATAAGCTTACAAGAAGATAAACTAGCGACAGGCCCAAAGTGGGATCCAGCTCAAGGGGAGGTCCCCAAGGCCTGACACTATTACTGAGGCTATGGAGCACTCACAAAAAGGGACCTATCATGACTGTCCCCCTAAAGACCCAACAAGCAGCGGAAAGAGTCAGATGCAGATATTTGCACCCAACCAATGGACAGAAGCTGCTGACACCTGTGGTTAAATTAGGGAAAAGCTAGAAGAAGCCGAGGAGGAGGGAGACCTTGTAGGAGGACCAGCAGTCTCAATTAACCTGGACCCCCAAGATCTCTCAAACACTAGACCACCAACTAGGCATCATACACCAGCTGATATGAGGCCCCCAACACATACACAGCAGAGGACTGTTGGGTCTGGGTTCAGTCAGAGAAGATACACCTAACCCGCAAGAGTCTGGACGCCCCAGGAGTTTACAGGTCTGGAAGGGTGGGGGTAGGGGGTGGGAGGTGGGGGTGGGGACATTCTTGTGAAGATGGGGGGAAAAGAGGTATGGAATGTGGAACAGTCAGGAGGAGGACTGGGAGGGGGATAAGATCTGGAGTGTAAAAAAAGATTAAATAAAATTAAAAAGAAAAGATAAACTAGAAAAGGTTGAATAGTGATAGAATGAACAAAAGGAAATCTTCACTAAGGTATTACTAGATACAAATTAAAAGGAGAGTTGGTGGGGACAAGAGTCGCTAGTGTGGGGAGTACAGAGAAGAGCACTGCAGTCACATGCATTTCAGTATGACTTGGGCAAGAATCTGTGACTAATTCACACAGCGTAGCAAGGAGACTGCTCGGACTTCCGTTTCAAATATAGGATGCTGAAGTGTATGTGTGCTTTTGGTAGGACAGTGTTTCTACGTTTAGGCTATAGGAGCAAATAAGCCCTAAGAGTGACCTAGTAGAGAAGGGGACTATGTATCCATTGCCATGAGAATTTATACAAACTACAGGATTTTCTCAATATGAAAACAACTGGATACATGTAAGACACATGTGGAATGCAGTCGTTAAAACATGAACTGTTCTATTTTTTTCCATTAATATACTTTACATCCCAATTACTGCCCTGCCCCCTCCTGGTGCCCCCCCCCCAGTCCTCTCCCCATTATTTCTTTCTCTTCTGAGATGGTGGAGTCTGCCCCCTCCCCAGCATGAACTATTTTAATTCTAGAGGAGTTTCAGAAAATGTTTCCTCATTTCCTGAGGACAATCAGACGATGGGAACAGCACACACTGCCGTGTATTTTGGTAAGAACCAAATACATCAGCGCCCAAGATCCTGAAGTCCGAGGCGGAAGGTTAGCCCAAGCTTGCATTTTGTCCTTCTAAAACACTGTTGCTTTGTATTATACTGAAAATCTTCAAAGGGGATGAAATCTCTTCCTGCTTACCTTCAGAGAATATGGGCAAAACAAGCTGTTATCAGAGTTTTATAATTAGCAAATATCCTCATATTTAGATATTTACAGACTTGTTGGGGGAGGGGGTCTTGCTATGTTGTCTAAGTTGGCCTTGAACTCATAGCAATATCACTAACTTACCTTCCCAAGGGCTGAAAGTAAGGCACATAATTGAAGGTGTGTACTTATTTTAAAAAAAAAGAACTTTTTTCTCCCTGTTGAAAACTGGTAAATGTCAACATGCTACTGATAGATATAAGGGTACAAGTATGTACAAATTAACCAGTAGATTTAACCTTTGCACTACAAAATTGTAGTTTTCAGAAACACTGAATAGACTTCATCCTGGTATATTCTAGTGTTGGGTATGCAGCCATGAAAGGGAAGGGATTTATAGTCCAGATGACTAACATGATGTATGCCTAGGCCTTCTGATTGGTCCATAATTAAAAGGTTTCCTTGGATGCAGGACTTCCATCGCTAAGCCTCAGGAAAACAAGCGCTAGCCATAGCCATTCTCTCAGAGCAATCCATAAAGTCTCCTGGCCCCACTCGCCGTTGTTCATGCACCTCTGAACAGTCCTTTCCACATCAGACGAGCTGACCAGCATCAGAGAATATTGTAAAAGTACTTAGTCAACACCAGACCTCGAGAGGCAAAAGGGAAGCTAACTGCCACCCTGTGAAGACAAATATTACGATGGAGAGATTCACTTGACAAAGAAACAAAATCTCTGGCTGTTAGCCAAGGGAGTCTTTTCTGATGGTAAAATACTAACACTTCAGGTTACTTCAGCCTCGGCCACATGTTCACCATGTGAGAAAGTACGTAAGAAACACCTAACTCGGGCACAGCTGGTGCTTGCCTTACAGAAACGGAATGTTTTGATGCTAAATATTGGAGTGATCCAATACAGCACAATAGATAACAGTGAGAAAAAGCAGTAAGTCCTAGTAAGGACTTAAGAAATGGGGTGTTGAGGGGCACATGTGTAGCAGAGGACTACATTGTTTGGCCTCAGTGGGAGAGGATGTGCCTAATCCTCTAGAGACTTGGTACCCCAGGGAGGGGCTATGCGGGGGAGGGGGCATCCTCTCAAAGGTGAGGGGAAGGGGGGATGCGGGGGGGGGGGTAAACTCTGCGATGGGATCGGGAAGGGTACAACATTTGGGATGTAAACATAATAATAGAATGGGGTGTCGGTACTATTTCCGACAAAAGGCTCTAGATAAGCTCCTCACAGCCTCTGGGCAAAGGTCTACAAAAGGGAATAAGCTGGCAGAAAGATGCTCAGGCAGAATAGCAGAGCAAAGGATTTCTAACACAGTACCAAAGCTCTAACTTGCTTAACCTGTTAGAACAATTGACGTCATGACTGAAGCAGGGTGGGTTAAAGGGCAGGACAGAGATAGAACAGAGGATGCGGTAGGGATGGAGAATGCTTGGTTTAAATCTTATTTAGAGTCAAAGAAAAGCCACTTGATCTTGAGTAAAAGGGAACACGATCTAACCCGAATAAGAATAATAAACTCTCTTGGAAGCTTTGGCACCGTACAGATCCTCTTGAGCCAGACAGTGTAGATGAATCCACGAAGCTTTTCGGATTTTTTCCTACGAAACACTGCCCCCTATAGATGAGGTCATATAGGCAAATCGAGCAAATGAAATGGGGCATTTACGAAGTGATAGGAATTGCTGCTGTTCTACACGCGGGATCTCCAAAATTTTGTACCAACGATGGAGCGTACAACTTATCACAGATTCTTTGAACGTTTAGATGGTGAAATAGCATGCGGATCATTAAAAGCAACTTCACACAGTTGTCTTTTTATACGGCTGCTTGGATTTAAAAATCTCACGTGTGGCCCGGATTATATTTTGTCGGACAGTGGCTAGGCTGTGCTTTTGGCATCCAGCAGGAAACCTTTTCGTTCAAGAGTTTCGTCCGCCCACTTCGCTGCAAAAGCCTGGCTTGGGTCTGGACTCCACGGTTTCCGACCACTCGGACAGCCGGCCAGGCAAGGGCTCCGGAAGTCCTACGCTGTCGCCACGTTTGATCTCTTTCCAGAGGCGCGAGAGATCCACCTCTCAAGAGACTTCCCAGAGCCGTCCCAGGCACCCACGCCCTTCTTCCTCTCACACACCCATCCCTCTAAACTCGTCACAGCCCACGACACAACCGCTAGACGCCGTTAATCCTAAGGAGGAGGAAGCATCCTCTAGGAACACCTCTGATTGACAGGCCGGATCCAGCAGCGCCCGGAGAGAAATGAAATTCCATCCTTTTCCGGGGCGTGGCCAAAGACATGGGCGGGACTTCCTAGCCAGCTATCAATAGCTTCCTGTGTGTGCCGGAAGTTCTCGCAGGGAGACCTGGGAAGTCAAGAGTCTAGTGTGGTGGCTTGTCGTGGCTGTAGGCGAGTTAGTGTCTCGGGAGCTTGGCTAGAAGACTGGTCAAGATTAGAAGAAGGTGCTCGGCTAGGTCGTCTCTTCCTCCCGGCCCGGCAATGGCGACGTACACCTGCATCACCTGCCGGGTGGCGTTCCGCGACGCGGAGATGCAGCGGGCCCACTACAAGACGGACTGGCACCGCTATAACTTGCGGCGCAAGGTGGCTGACATGGCCCCGGTGACAGCCGAGGGCTTCCAGGAGCGGGTGCGGGCGCAGCGGGCGGTGGCGGAGGAGGAGAGCAAGGGCACGGCCACCTACTGCACCGTGTGCAGCAAGAAGTTTGCCACCTTCAACGCCTACGAGAACCACCTCAAGTCCCGGCGGCACGTGGAGCTGGAGAAGAAGGCGGTGCAGGCCGTGAGCCGCCAAGTGGAGATGATGAACGAGAAGAACTTGGAGAAGGGCCTGGGCGTGGACAGTGTGAACAAGGATGCCATGAACGCCGCCATCCAGCAGGCCATCAAGGCCCAGCCTTCCACGTCTCCCAAGAAAGCGCCCTTTGTGCCCGCGAACGAATCCAGGGCGGCGGGCGCGGCTAGACGGGTCGCCCCGGAGCGAGACCCGACGGAGAAGCCGCCCCGGCTCCAGTGGTTCGAACAGCAGGCGAAGAAGCTGGCGAAGCAGCAGTGGGAGGAGAGTGAGGAGGACGGAGAGGAAGAGGAAGACGACGAAGGTAACGTCCCTGTCGGGGTTGGGGTGATGGGGGTGAGGCTCCGGTTCCAGGAGACATTCCGATTGAGATGGAGTGCTGGGTCCATTTTCGGCGACGTCGCCGTCCTAGGGGTTGAACTCACGCCCGCGCATGTCACTCCACTCCACTGAGGCCCTGCCCGAGTCGTCTTCATGTTTACGTTTGCAACAGGATGTCCCTTTCCCAGGCTGGTCTTGACTTTCTTATCCATTTGCCGCAGCCTTGGCGGGAGTTGGGTTCCAGGTTCAGGGCATCCTGCCTGGATTTAATTTTGTTACCCGATTTATGTC